GTTTATCCTGCTTCTACTGTGTTTGTTAAAACAACTCTGGAATATCCAAACGATTGCCCAGGCTTTGCTGAGCATTCATGGTGATGTTGCCCAGACGGTTGCTGGCCACCCGGCAGCGCCACGGGGCCGTCGCTACGGTTTGTTCGGAACACCGGGCTGTTTGAAAGGCGGAAGTGGAGAGTCGCTGCCCATGGCCCTTGGGTTCTCTCTGCACCCTCCCTGCCTGCGCGGTTGGCTGTCAGCTCCGGCCGGGGAAGGGAGTGTCCCCGAGTCAGCGTGCTGGCTGGGCCCTCCGTAAATCCTTGCGTGGGATCAGACCCGCTACGTTTGCTCGGCATATGGAGTTTATTCAGCAGCGCTTTGAGGGTATCGAGCACGTTGGCAGCCCGGGAAGAGACCGGGAGCCGTGGTGCAAGGGACCCTTTCCCGCTTTCCTCGTGCTGTGCCGAGCAGACGTCAGTGCCTGACAGCAGCGGGTATCGGGGTTGAGGCTGCCTCCTGAGGGGCCGGGCACGTGTCCTGGGCCCTGCAGAGGAAGGCCTTGCTCCCACCAGCCTCCGCGAGCGTCCGCTGACCTGGCTGGCCACAGCGGGATGGACGGACAGGCCCGGGCAGAATCCCCGGGCGGCAGAAGGACGTCCACGTCCACCAGGGGCCACTCGGTTCAAACTTGCCCGGATCACCCCCCAGGCTCCCTTCACCCCCGAGCAGGTGCTGCTGCTGCTGCCGCTCCTTCACGTCCCTGATGACGCCGGTGTCCTGGAACGAAGCTTCACGCAGGCAGGAAGGACGGTTTGCCCCTGGATGGGATCGGCGCTCACCTGGCACTCGTTTGTGCCGGAGCGTTTTAGCCGCTTTTCCACGCCGGGTTGGGCGGAAGGGAAGGAGGTTGATGTCAAAACCAACCTGAAATGCAGTTCTTCACTGGGATGTCCTCTGTCCAAGCCCAGGGAAGGAATGAGTGGGGCAGGGCAGCTGCTCGCAGGTGACCCCTCCACGAGACCTTGGTCGGGCTCGCCCGTGCGAGCCCTGAGGTTCCAGGAGACGCGTGTGGCCCACTCGCTCTTGAGGCTGCGGTGTGGCCGCCCGTCACACATGCCTTGAGACCCTTGAACCGGCCGCGTGTGACTCTGGCTTTGCTGTGATGGGGTCCCCAACGAAGTCAGGGTCCCCTCCCGGCCACCATCTTTAACTCGTGCCAAGTTAAAGAAGTAAGAAGGTTCCGGCGTCGTGATGCTAACCTGGGGATTATTCCTCCTGGGAGGGGTGCGGGGAGTCGTGGCTGTGACGTGCCCCGGAGTGTCACCCTCGGCGAGGGCCTGGCCTTTCCGGGGATGGGACAGACGCGCCCGGGGCTGCACGGTTGGGCCCCTGCTCCCCGGGGGAGGGTGGGCCGGGCCGGGTGGCGGGGGCTTCGCTGCAGCAGCAGGTGGGCTTGGGGCCCGCGGGGAAGGCTGGGACGTGGGATTCCCGTGAGCGTGGGCTGCGCGGCCCGTAATCGCCGGCGTGTCGAGGTTCGCCGGCGGGGGAGGCTGGAGGAACTCCTCCGCGATAAGAGCTGCCGTTAGAGCCGCCGGCGCCCCGCAGCCCTTCCGGGCCAAGCGGGCGAGGTTGTGGGGGGAGAGGGCAGGGCGGGCGAATAAATTTCATTTTACTGTAGAAATGGAAATTTGTGTCATGGCTTTAAAAATCTGGTTTTTATGTGTGTGTTTAATGCCATTCATTTTAAATGTAGTATCGTAAATCCTTGCTTCGGAATCAAAGCTGTTTAATTACATTTCACCCTTGAATGGTTATCTAATGCCAATAGAGAAAGAGTTAAAAAGGAGAACTACCGAGTAAATCAGAGGTTGAGATCTTTAGCACAAGCATAAAAAATCAATTTAAGATGAATTTTACTACTATAAAAATTCTTCAAATACCATTTTAAGAGTGGGAAATGCTAGGAAACACGGCTCCCATTTCAATTTCCTCCGCGGCGTGGCGAGGCGGCCAGCCCGCGTGGGCAGAGCCGGGGAGCAGCGCCCGAGTGCACCCCGCTTCGCTCAGGGCTGCTGCTGAGCCGGGAATGGTAACGCCGGAAGCCGAGGGCCACTGGCGGGGCAGGAGCCCCTGGTCTCGCTTGGGGATGCCCACCTGCTGCGGTGCCATGTGCGGTGTGTGGCGGCCGGCCAAGCCTGCTAGCCCTGGAGACCCAGCTGACCTCCAGGCGCTGGCTGGTGCTGCCTGCCGCTCCGGCAGCCCAGCCCCTGCGCCCCTCGAGCTCTGCGGGAGACGCCGGCTGGGCGCTTGCTGCAGAAGGTGCCAGCCCCGGGCGGGCGGCTCTCCTGTCCTCTGTTGAGGGTCACTGCATGTGGGAACAGTAGTGGCACCTTTGCTTCCTCCCGGGCAGGGGCTGGCTGGCAGCTGCCCGGTGACCTGAGAGGCTGGCCCTGGCCACACGCCTCCGGGGATCGGGATGGCAAGGCATGTCGCGTGTTTCTCCATCTTTCTCGTTAGGTAAGCACAGTGTTCCGCTAGTAGGAAGAGAACAAGAGTGGAGTGACTGAGAGTCAGTGTGTCTCTGTCTTCCGCCCGGCGGGCCCACCCTGTGCCGACGGAGGAAGCCGGGTGGTGACGGGGCCGGACATGGTTTCCAGGCAGAGCCCAGGCTGCCAAGACGGCAGCCCGTTTACGTGGGGCACCGGGCTGAGCGAGGGCGCCGTCCACATGGTTCCCTCGGGCAGGGCTCTTGCTGCGCAGCATGGACAGGCCTGCACCTGCTCCGTCTGGCCCCGGCGCACGGGCTCAGCAGCGCCAGCCGGCTCTGGGTGCTTGACTCTCAGGCCTGACTTCGGCCTCGGTTGTCCGTCTCTGCCTGGTCCTCCTGGTGGGCTCCTTGCGCAGGTGGGTGTGGATCTGCACCTCTCCTGGGCGCCTTCCGGGGAAGCGGGAAGAACACCTCAGGTGGCATTCATACGGCAGCCCGAGGACTCACCCGGACCCCAGGTTTGCCACTTTTAATGGTCTCTTATTAAAACGTGCACAGCCTCTGCGGGAGGCAGAAGATGCTTCCCCGGAAGCCGAGCTTCCTGCTCTGAGACAGAAGCCGCGTCCAGACGTTTCTGCCCACGACCACCCGTTAGTCCCAAGTCGCTTGTGTTGACTTTAACACGCCCAAGACTATTAAATTGGATGCGCAAACGACCGTTTCTTCCCCCCGTTTCTGCCGAAACTCTGAGAGTAAACCTTTTCAACCACGAGGAAGGCATACAGTTTCTTTCTCACCCCTGGCCTCTCTGCGTGCTTCTGACTTTATTCAGATTTGCACAGGCCTGGTTTTTGCCTCGCAGGGAAAGCGAGAGCTGGTCACTCAGGAAATTGGAGCTCCTTGGGCGAAGGTGGTGTTTGCAAAGTCTCACTGCATCTCTGGGACTGACAGTGGACCTCCACTCTTCTGGGGTTCCAGGGCCACAATCCTCCTGGAGCTGGCCCTGGGGACGGCCCACGAGGCACCCAGAATGGCGCTGAGGGTCTTCTGGAGCCTGACCCCCCCCCCTTTCCTGTGTTCTTACCATCACAGCCCTGCTCAGGCAGGGCCTCCGGTCAGGACCTCCTTACAGTCACACTCACGGGGTCCCCACCTGCAAGGTGAGTTTGTCCAGCCTGCCCCAGCACACACAGCCCTTGCCCGCACCCCAAGGCCTGTTACTTCTTCGTGTCTCTGTTCACGCTAAGGTGGCCCTGGAGGCTGCCCTTGCCCCACCTGCCTCCTACAGACACAGCCAGGCCGGTGCTCCTGGGCCCTTCAGCCACACCTGTCACTCCCATGCTGGCCGTGCCTCCAGGTGGCCCTCGCAGGGCTGGCGGGTGCGTGTTGGGAGGTCTGTGGATAGGACGCACACGGCAACACGGGACACGACGCCGTGCAGGGGCTCGGGAAGGAGGAGGGGGCTCTGGTCTCAGCAGGGCCTGCCCACATCTGCATCACGGTGGCTTTTCTGCTATTCCAGAAAGCCTCAGAAGTTGCACCATCTCAAAAGGAGACTAGAGAACCTCTGCCCAGCAAGCCCGAGGAGACACCTGGGAGTGGCTACCGGTCACAGGCCTTGGAAGGGAGGGAAGGAAGAGCGTCATCCGGAAAAGCAAACCCAGTGCCAGCGCCTTGGGGGTGTGCAGTCTTAAGAACCGAAATAAAAAACGGATCCGCTGTGAAAATCGAGGCCCAGCACACAGCAGGCGTGACCCTTCTCGGCAGGGGTGTTTCTCAGTCCGGGGAACACCGTCCCCAGGTCGGCCCCTGCAGGAGATGGGGGGTCCGTCTCCAAGGGGGTCACCAGGTCCGACAGACGGAAGAGAGCGCCCCACACAGAAGCAGCCGTGCGGCGACCTGGAGCGGCTCCGCAGCGGGCGGGTTTGAGCCGACGGAGACGGAAGGCAGGACGGACGGAGACCGGAAAAAGCAAATGGGAAGATTCGGGAACAAACCGAAGAGACGCCCCAGGCATGCCGCTGCCCTCAAAACACGAGCGCAGGGGACGACGTGAACGCAGACAGGACCCTGGGGGCGTGGGGTCTGTCAGCAAACTGGGGGGCATCCCCTGGCCGAGACCATGTGGCCGCCACGCCCTGGCTGTTGGGGGCGGGACGGGGGGAGTGTGGTGCAGTCTGAGCACTTTGAAGCTCCCTCTGGAACATGCTCGATGACGGGCACTTGGTGACTTGGCTGCACCCATGTCCTCTGTAAGTCCTAGAAAGGGAAGATGCTCCAGCAGCTTCCCACCGTGGCTGCACGTCCAGAGCCGTGTCCTGGGAACGTCCCGTGCTCCCTCCGTGTGGCCTGAGGGTGGGGAAGTGGGCGCGGCCCCTCCGTGCCCGCCTCTCTGCCCCTGAGACCCGCCCAGCCGCTAGCTGAGCCCGGCGGCTGCAGGTGTTCCCCGTTGAGGTGCGACGGGCGTTTGCTCTCTGACGTGTGGCGACGGGCCCAGAGGTTCACTAAGCCCCTCCCATCACTTTTGCAGCGCCACGGAGGCCCCGGCCCCTCCCGAGGCTCCCGGCGGTCCGGAGGGAACCACGGAGCCCCTGGAGCAGTGCGCAGCCTGGCTGGACGCCTACTTCCATGCGCCCGCGGCCGCCGGCCAGCTCCCCACGCCGGCGCTACACCATCCCGTTTTCCAGCAAGGTAAGTCGCTGAGCCGCCCCGCGGCGTTCCTAAAGGGAGCTCGGCTTTGTTACCCGGCACCGACATCGCGGCTCATTCCGTTGACTATAGCGCCTCGGTATTCTTACGTCATCCGGACAGAGACGGCAGCGTGCGGCCGAGCCGGGAGGACGAGAGTTCGCAGCCTCCGGCCACGCCAAACGCTTGTGCTAGTTTTGGCTCGGGGGCGCGTAATTCTTGGCAAAGGCCGTAAAAATGATGCATGCAGATCGACTCCTGACTTTCGCTGGCTGAAAGGTTTAAATAGGAACACATCTGAATGGCAGTAAATTTTTCAATAAGCTTATTGTTAACTTAAACTCTCTGTCTGCCAACGGCACAGGGAAGGAGACGCGTGTTTGGACAATTAGCTGCTTCCTGAGGCTCAGCTGGTGACAGTTACGTTTTAGTAGGCAGCGGCTTGTGTCGTCTCGGGTAAATTTTAATTTCTCAAACGCACCATGGTTAGATATTCTTAAGAGATGAATTGAGAACTTGCAGCCCAAACATAGCATGCTAAGGGCGTTTAAAGTCTGTGACAAACTAAAAACATTTTTCCAGACATTTCTTTTAAGGCTTTTGTTTGGATCTACCTGATGTAGAAATTAATTACAGGAGCTGAAATCATTCTAGGCACATACCAAAAGTCTATTTTGCATGACGACTTTTTTCCACAGGTAACATTTTAACATAAACGAACGCATATTCGTATGCAGATATGCATGTGTAGGTGTACGTATACACTTAAAGGGAAAGATGACCCTGAGATTTTAGAGGTGGTGAGTTTAAAGCAATCTTGAATTTCAGAATGGGATGTACTAGGTAAGCTTAATGATATATTCTAATTGCTGCTGTGCTTTTCAGCAAAAGCAAACTTGAAAATGGAGTCAAGTTTTCGGGGGAAGCCGGTAGAGAAACCCCGAGATGGTTGGGCTAATACCGGGGGTTCTCTAACGAGATGAGACAGGTGAGCAGATGAAACCGTGGACACTTTTGTGCATAGTAAACCGACACTGCACGGCTGTAAGGAACCAGGTGCCTTGCTCCCCTTGGATCACACAGCACTGTCTGCAGAAGGTTTCCCTTGGGTGGGGGCCCTCTGGGATGGGCCGGTGGGGGTGGGCCTTTGCCTGGACCAGTGGGGCGCTGCCCGCCCAGCACGTTGTCCTGCCTGTGCCAGGCCCGCCCTTTCTCCAGCACCCTGAGTCTGGTACCAGGGTGCTGCCGGTCTGGCTGAGTAGACGCTACCAGTGACCCTACTTTTGTGCACTTCTGACAGTTCAGGCCCAGGGCGGGGGTGTTGCTGTGTGGTCTGAGGAGGTTGGATTGGTTTTATTTTTAAAGGAGGGGCTTGGGGGATCTTGGGGTGCTGAACTAGTCCGTCTACCGTCGTCATTTTAGGGTTCCCTCCCTGCCCATAGGAGCGGGACAGAACTGCCCGGCCGGCTTTCCTTCTCCTAAGTCTGTCGGGCACGTGAGCTGACATGCGAGGTCTCAGAATAGAAAAGCCACGAAACCAGGGCAGGAAGTATCTGCACAATCTTATCTTACTAAATCCTGAAGTTTACCTAAGGTTCGTTGTGTAACTTAATGAAAAATACAGTGGCAGAAGTTGGGAGAAAACCACTCGTTTTCTGCAGGCCAGATAGTGATCCCGGCCGTGGAGGGGAGCCCTGCTGACCTGTCCCCCCACCCCCCGGGGTCCAGCAAGGAAAGGCCTGGAGGAGGCCCCCTTGGTGGCCACTGATAGGTGACCCAGGACAGAAGTCACCGAGCTGCCTCTGCAGCCTCCCTCCGGCCACCTCTGATGCTCCCAGAGCTGTGGACTGGCCCCTGGGACCAGCGAGCCTGGGCCTCCTCCATCACGTCCCTAGCACTTAAAGGGAGCTGGCATTGGCCAAGCTGACCCCTCCTCCCTGGCGTGGGGGCCCAGGCCACCAAGCAGGTCATGGTGGGTCTTGGTGACTAGGAAGACTTCGAGGTGGCCCTCCATCCAGCTACCCCACAGCCCAGCCCTCTGGAAAGCCCTGCGTTGCAGGTGGCACTTCTCCCTGGGCCGGGGTCCTGGGCGGGAGGGCCCAGCATCCTGCATCCTTCTTTCCTGGTGCCCTGGGCGCTCCCAGGCAGGATGCAGACCCAGGGTGCTGGGGTGCCCTGGGCCAGGCCTGCCTGTGACAGTTCCCGGTTGCTGCCCGGTCTCCCGAGCCTCAGCACATGCACGCCAGGTTTTTTAAATTTGGTGCAATCATCCACCCCAGGACCAGGTGTGCAGGTTTTATGGTTTAAAGAAGGGGAGGTGGCAGACGGTTACGCAGTTGCCAACACGGAGTGAATTGCTCCTGCCCAGTTGTGCAACGCCCCTTCCTGTCCAGCGTTGGTTGGGTTTGTTCTCCGTCCAGTTTGTGTCTTACGACACCAGTGAAATCACAGCGAGGGGCAAGGAAAAGTCTGACATCCCAGCCCTCTAGCACCGCGGGGCAGCATATAATCAGTCTGCAATCCGGAAGGAATGGGTCTGTTTTAACGTGGAATTAACGTTTCCTCGACCCAGTACGTTTTCTGTGCATTTTAATTTTTGCATATGTTTAACATACTTCTACATATCATTTTTCTCCATACTCTCGCTTCTGAGATTTAGCCCACTTCTGTCCATTTCATGCTGGTGTTTTGTTTTTTTGTTTTTTTTAAAAAAAAAACGTGATCGTAGTCGAGCTCATCCTGGAGCGTCCAGCACAGGTACCTTTCTTTGGGCAGCCCCGGCTCGTAACACCCCGGGCCTCGGTGCCCAGCTCCTCCCTGCCCGCCCCCCAGCCCAGCGTGGGCTGTCGAGCCGCTGGGAGGCCTCTCCCCTGCACACGGGCCCGTCCCGGGAGTCCTACGCAGTGAACGTGCTGTTCCTGATTTGTTTGTTTTTTTAAGGCTAACCACAAAACTATGCATTAAGTTGAACCATATGAAATTGCTGTTTTTGTAGGTTAAGACTTACCAAATACTAGAAATTCATATGGTTCAGCTTCTTGGGCAGTTTCCAAAGATCGATCAGGAACGAGGGGGTACGTGGGTGTTTCTGCAGAGGGACAGGGACGCTGTCTCTGCTGCCCGGGACTTCGGAGGTCTCCGTGGCCGCCGTGGCCTTGGGCCACGTAGACAGGAGTTCCCAGTGGGGAGAGGGGACAGAGATCTGCCAGGAAGACACATCCTTCTCCCGAGGGGGGTTAAAATATAACCTGAGCTGGTGAATAAGACGCATTCTGATTTCTCCTTGGACTGTTGTTTTAGATAGCGGTCCGGTCATTCCCTAAAATAAAATTAGAGATTTCTTTTTTTTTTTTTATTGTTGATTTTGGTTTGCTTATTCTAGTTTATTAAAAATCGTTCTTCCAGCTACTCTGTGACCAACACCGGCAGTCTGGCCGCACGAGTTGCCGTCCTGAGGAGGTCAGTTTCCCCCTGTAAGCTTCTCATAAAGGGCGGCAAGCGTTTTTATCTGTCTTAATCCGTTTTCCCCAAGAAATACTTGTTTAGTGACGCTGTTATTTTTGAAATGCATCTTAATGTCTCTTTCGTGATGAAATATCATTTAAACTTCTGAAGTTTAAATGACTGCTGCTTCTGAAGGTCCTAGGGCCTGGTTTTTTTTTTTTTTTTTTTTTGGTGACCTTCAAATGTGCCCGGTAAGTTGGAACTCCAGCCTGAGTGTCGACAGAGGAGGTCAACTGGGGGGGGGGGTGCGTTTTCTCTTTAGCCTCACCCCCCAAACTGGATCCACAGCAGGAGGCGAGCTTTGTGCTTCCAGGTACTTGGTGTACTACTATTTTCCCTCAACTTTTTTTTTTTAAAAACTTACCAACTTGAGGAGAAGGTGATAGCTAACGTAGGAGCTGCCTTTGCGGGTTCTGGTTGTAGCCCTCGCTGTTTTCCCTGACTTCAAACAAGGGCTTGCTTTATTTATTAAAAAAAAAAAAAAGTGTTAGCTGCTTTTGCATAACATGCCCTGCTTTCTTTGTTTATATATAAAAAAAAGTGTTAGCTGCTTTTGTGTAACACGCACCCATAGAGGTCAGTGGCGAAAGCAGTTAGAATAAGGAAAGTAGTAGTTTGCCAAAAACAGGCTTAAACAACCAGTTCAAGGAAAGCAGACCCCTAGATATCCAAGACGGACTTTCAGATGCCGGCCGTGTGCGCATGCGTCCCCCGTCCCTGCGCCCGTGTGCGGGTGGAGACCCTCCCCGCGGGTGTGGCCGACGGGCGTGGGCGGCGGGGCTGCCAGGCACTGCCCACGCGAGGCCTCGTGGCAGGGGGCCCCAGCTGGGACCTGAGCCTCCTCACAGATGATGGCTCTCGGCAGATGAGCTCTGAGTTTTCTTTTTAAAGTGACTGCAATGTTCCCTTTTAAATGAAATATTTAACACTTTAATAATTCCTTCGTCACAGCTATTAGCTTGTAGCTATGAAACCCGGTTGCATGACAGCAGTAAAATCTGCATTTTTCAGCCTGCTGGCTAGAAGTAAGTTTCGTAACTTCTCACAGAGCCTCAGGAAGGATTCGTGTTCCTGTACTTGGGTGTCTCCGTCGAACACCCCCCTGGGTCAAAGGGGCCTCTGACAAGAGCCCTGCCGGAGTTACGGGACAGGCCCTTTTGGGGTGAATTAATGCATTTTCCCATGCGTCGTGGAGGAGGGTCCTGCTGTGCCCGTGCCTCCCAGTGGGCATGCTTCCCACGGGTCCCCAAGTCCTAGAAGACTTGGGGTGGGGAGAGAGCACTGTCATTACCCTGCATCTTCACCAGGGTCAGCCCTTTGCGGTTAAAAGACCCACCTTGGAAATCCAAGCCAGGGCCCGTCCTCCCAGCCCCGCCCCGCACCTGCTGCCCTCGCAGGGCCTAGGAGGCTCGTCCCTCCTGGCGTCACTCGCGTCCTGGCCGGCACCCTGTATCCCCTGCCCAACCGGCAGGTGGTCTCCCCGGGACAGACACACTGAA